CAGCACCACGGTCGCCCTGGAGGTCGTGGCCACCACCACCACCGCGGCGGTGGAGGCATGATGGGTAGGCCTCGCGGCCCTCCTCCGCATGGTCGCCCGCCGCACCGCCACGGCCGCGGTCACCGCCACGGCAGGCGTCCTGCCCACGGCGATCGCCANCGAAGAGGCTCGGTGGTCCAGGCCTGGAGGTAGGCAGAGTGGTCCTCCTCATCAGCACCACGGTCGCCCTGGAGGTCGTGGCCACCACCACCACCGCGGCGGTGGAGGCATGATGGGTAGGCCTCGCGGCCCTCCTCCGCATGGTCGCCCGCCGCACCGCCACGGCCGCGGTCACCGCCACGGCAGGCGTCCTGCCCACGGCGATCGCCACTGCTCGTCAAGCCCTACCCACGGACCGCCCCGCGGACCGTTCGAAGAATACGGTGGACTGCACCTCCACCACCACCACCACCACCACAGCGGCGGCGAGAGCGAAGGAGAAGCAGAGATGGCGATGATGCATGCCGGGCCGCGTGGCCCTCCCCACGGAATGCATGCCCCCCCGCACCTCCGCGGACAAGCCAAGGGCGGCCCTCGTCGCCACGGCATGCCCATGCACAACCGNCACCACAGCGGCGGCGAGAGCGAAGGAGAAGCAGAGATGGCGATGATGCATGCCGGGCCGCGTGGCCCTCCCCACGGAATGCATGCCCCCCCGCACCTCCGCGGACAAGCCAAGGGCGGCCCTGGTCCCCACGGCATGCCCATGCACGACCGCCAAAGGCACTCCTTCCATGGAGGTCGCCGCTTCCACGGCGAGGGTGTACACAGCAGCGGGGGTGAAGGAGAGCGTGGTCCTGTGCACATGGGCCCAGGTCACCATGCCCACCCTCGTCGCCATCCAGAACACCACGGCGTGCACCACCTGGAGAGGGACGAGGACACTGCCGGTACGGACATGGACCATGGCCCCGTTCCTCACGGGGCAGGACGGCACCACCATCGAAGCCCCGCCGGTTTACACCACCGACCGCACGGCCCGCCCCCCGGCCCGCCCGGCATGCGGGGCGGAATGCGGTACGAGGACTCCGGAGGCGATCTCCACCCCCGACAGCATCAGCACCGGCACCAGCAGCACCAGCAGCAGCACGGAAGAATGGCGGCGGGCCGTGCTCACGGTCACCCCTGTTACGACAGCCCCTCTCCCTTGCAGATGATGCCGATGCAGGCCTACTGAAGAGGAGAACAAGGCACCGTGATGTACGGCTGGTTGAACGGTATGTGTTGCTGCTGGCCAGAGAGCTACGACGAGGCAGTAACATATGACCTGGAGTAGAAAGCAGTTGTTTGGCGGGAGAACGAGAGACGGTTGGGTTTGGCCTGATTTTGGCGTGGTTTGAATTTGTTTGTTTATTTGCAATTGGGCAGAAGCCTCCCTCGGGAAAACTGATACGAGGGACAAAGGACGTGCACCTTACGGTATACACCTGTGCGTGGTACGGTACGTTCTAGAAGGCCTCTGCGCTCATGCAGCCGTAGTGTATACGTTGTGTGTGTTTGAAGAGTCTTGCATTGTGTTGGTACGCCACCAGATGTTAGTGGAGATTTCTGCCTGCTGACGTACGGCTGTGCTCCGTGTTGTTTGCAGTACGATGGCAACTAGCTGTGTTGTCGTCGCAGGTAGCAGACGTAAATGGTCTCTGTTGGCAATCATACGCTGAATTCCTTTTGGTTTGAGCGTCTCTTAATCAGAAATGCATNCTTCCACGGCGAGGGTGTACACAGCAGCGGGGGTGAAGGAGAGCGTGGTCCTGTGCACATGGGCCCAGGTCACCATGCCCACCCTCGTCGCCATCCAGAACACCACGGCGTGCACCACCTGGAGAGGGACGAGGACACTGCCGGTACGGACATGGACCATGGCCCCGTTCCTCACGGGGCAGGACGGCACCACCATCGAAGCCCCGCCGGTTTACACCACCGACCGCACGGCCCGCCCCCCGGCCCGCCCGGCATGCGGGGCGGAATGCGGTACGAGGACTCCGGAGGCGATCTCCACCCCCGACAGCATCAGCACCGGCACCAGCAGCACCAGCAGCAGCACGGAAGAATGGCGGCGGGCCGTGCTCACGGTCACCCCTGTTACGACAGCCCCTCTCCCTTGCAGATGATGCCGATGCAGGCCTACTGAAGAGGAGAACAAGGCACCGTGATGTACGGCTGGTTGAACGGTATGTGTTGCTGCTGGCCAGAGAGCTACGACGAGGCAGTAACATATGACCTGGAGTAGAAAGCAGTTGTTTGGCGGGAGAACGAGAGACGGTTGGGTTTGGCCTGATTTTGGCGTGGTTTGAATTTGTTTGTTTATTTGCAATTGGGCAGAAGCCTCCCTCGGGAAAACTGATACGAGGGACAAAGGACGTGCACCTTACGGTATACACCTGTGCGTGGTACGGTACGTTCTAGAAGGCCTCTGCGCTCATGCAGCCGTAGTGTATACGTTGTGTGTGTTTGAAGAGTCTTGCATTGTGTTGGTACGCCACCAGATGTTAGTGGAGATTTCTGCCTGCTGACGTACGGCTGTGCTCCGTGTTGTTTGCAGTACGATGGCAACTAGCTGTGTTGTCGTCGCAGGTAGCAGACGTAAATGGTCTCTGTTGGCAATCATACGCTGAATTCCTTTTGGTTTGAGCGTCTCTTAATCAGAAATGCATCGAGGAGGAGCGGGGTACCCGCCCCGGGGTGAAATACTGCGGTGTTTGTGTGTTGCAGTCCCATACCTACGGAGAGAGGTTGTAACGGGGTGAGTCGCGTGGCCAAGGGTGACGGAACGGATGTTTTCTTCTGTTTTTTTGTGTAAGCGGTGTTGGTGTCTGGCGATGTATTGAGTGACGACAGACACCCTGCAACCGTTGTTAGTCATTTGTCGTTTCCTGTTGACGTTTCGCCTTTGTGTTCGGAGGGCGGGTGTGTTTTGTATGTCGTCGAAGCTGCTTCGCAAGGGAAGAAGAGTAGTGCAGTCGCAGAAGCGTTGGTAACACTTGTGTTAGCGGCAAGGCGTACGTGCGTATCGTTGTCTCCAGTCCTGCCTGCGTTGTGAAGCTGCAGCTGACAGCACCGAGTCTGTGTCTCTGTGGTACCGTGTGTTGTAAGGAGGATAATTTGTCTGGCACGTATTGGGCGGACAAGTGTTGCAGGCTGCAAGTAGGCATGCAGTGCACGTGTTGTGGAGTGCTGCTGATGGTGATGCATCGACAAGAAAAAACAACAAAAAAACTGGCTTTGATATCGGAATCCACGAAAAATNTTGTTAGTCATTTGTCGTTTCCTGTTGACGTTTCGCCTTTGTGTTCGGAGGGCGGGTGTGTTTTGTATGTCGTCGAAGCTGCTTCGCAAGGGAAGAAGAGTAGTGCAGTCGCAGAAGCGTTGGTAACACTTGTGTTAGCGGCAAGGCGTACGTGCGTATCGTTGTCTCCAGTCCTGCCTGCGTTGTGAAGCTGCAGCTGACAGCACCGAGTCTGTGTCTCTGTGGTACCGTGTGTTGTAAGGAGGATAATTTGTCTGGCACGTATTGGGCGGACAAGTGTTGCAGGCTGCAAGTAGGCATGCAGTGCACGTGTTGTGGAGTGCTGCTGATGGTGATGCATCGACAAGAAAAAACAACAAAAAAACTGGCTTTGATATCGGAATCCACGAAAAATAACACACCCGGTGGGTTCTTCCCACCACCCTCTTGAAAAAGAAAATGCCATGATTCCGACACGGAACTGCCTTTTTATGGTCGCGTGTCGTGCTGATCGACACCAGACCAACGGTGTCGCAATCGAGGCAGATCGAGCTGTCTGATGACTGCTCTCCGCTCTACCGTGCACGATTGTGTGTGAAGTGATCGTACTTCAGTTGACTGTTGGAAAAATTCAGATATACTATGTGTAGACTAGTTGCATTGATTGGCTCATCATACACTGTCTGATAGATATACTTGTAGCAATGCCAAGTGGTTGTAGGATTGTGTGGTACGTGGAATGTATTTCCAGGGTGTGCAAGGTACCCCTGTTGTATACTGCGTCGCCCCCTCATGGTGGTGCGTGCACGCGTGCGTTCAGTTCATGCAAGTTCATGTATGTTCATGTACTTTCATGTGAGTTCATGTGAGTTCATGTGAAGGAGAAGTTTATGCAACAAACNCGTGGAATGTATTTCCAGGGTGTGCAAGGTACCCCTGTTGTATACTGCGTCGCCCCCTCATGGTGGTGCGTGCACGCGTGCGTTCAGTTCATGCAAGTTCATGTATGTTCATGTACTTTCATGTGAGTTCATGTGAGTTCATGTGAAGGAGAAGTTTATGCAACAAACCCTACACGTCTTTC